CTTAAACTCATGCCTGGCGCGTGTGCGTGCGTGCCCAAGATCCCAAGAGAAGAATGGAGGAGAAGGGACTGTGGCGTGACTATCCCCTCTGGGGGGTGATTTCTTGCTTCCTGTCTCTCTGTCTCTCTCTGTCTTCCTGGCGAGCACATGCGCTCTATAGCAAAAATCTCTCCAAAAAAAAAAAAAAAAGAAAAGAAAAAACTAAAAATATTAGAAAGTAAATTTATGATGTGATTCCTTTGTGTATCATTTAAATTGAGAGTTTGCATTATTAAATGTTGATTAATAGTACGGCTATATTCTCAGATATGTGACTTTTGCTAAAAAATACAAGATAGAATTAAAACCAGGTCAGTTTAATACTTTATTGTGTGAAAAAATTTTGAATAATTAAGGCAAAATATAGATTGTTAAAATAAAATACATTGAAAATAAAATGAAACAATGACAATTTAAGGAAATATTTTTATTCTAAACAGAGGGGTTACTAAAGGACTAAGTAAATGACAAGAAGTTTATCAAAATTTTTAATTATTGCTGAATAATTATTCACTCACATCTTCCAGATATTTAAGGATAAAAGTGATATATTCTGAGAAATATACTTTTGATAGGTTTTGGCTTTATTTTTATTTTTTTATCATATCCACTCAAGCATTTTTTAAGGCTTTTGCCATAGGGTGTGTATGCTCACTGGAGAGACAGAGAAAGGCAGTGAGAGGGAGAGTAAAAATCACCCTCCCAGAGGGGATGGCCACATCATAATCTCTTCTCCTCCATTCTCCTGAGATTTGGGGCACACTCAAACCACAGACAGTCATATAGGAGTCTATCACCATAACCACAATGGCATCTGCTGGCATTTAAATATTTTTATTAAATCAAAAAGTCTATAGTTTGTTTTTATCGTTGCAATATTAAATTAAATTATCTTTAACTATAGAGTAATGATGAGTGTCAAATCATTTAATAATTGTATGTGGTGTCTAGTAAGAAAGGCCTCACAAAGGTAGCATGTATAAGATAGAAATGCATTTCAATGTCATTTGAAATACAGGATTAGAAATTCCATAGCTGGTGTGGAGGCTCCATGAAGTTAGTCTTTTCTGTTGTTTTAAAAGTACTTTTTTTACAGATACCTTTCTTTTTTTTTTAGTAATTTTTGCTATAGGGAGCACGTGCTCGCCAGAGAGACAGAGAAAGACAGAGAAAGGAAGTGAGAAATCACCCCCTGGGGTGGGGAGTGGCAATGCTGCAATCTCTTCTCCTCCAATCTACTCTTGGGATTTTGGGAATGCACGCACATGCGCCTGGCGTGAGTTTTAAGCTGCCAGGTCTGGGACTCAAACTGTGGTCTGCCTTGTGGGAGTCCAGCAACGTAACCATTACATCATCTGCTATTCCCAGATACCCTTCTTTTAAATCTTCCATAGAATTGCTGTTAACTACCAGAACTTTCAACATGATATGAAATGCCATCTTTATATTTTTTTCTGTATGCAAGAAATTCTTCCATATTTTTGTTCATTTCTTTGTTGGTCAAACTCTAGTGTGGATATTACTTTAAGTATCTACTTTTTTCTTAGTTCAATTTTAAGTTTATTTTATACTTTTTTATCATTTCAAGGGAAATTTTCTTTTTCTATTTATAATTCCTTATCATTAAAAAACTCAAAAAGCAGAACTGTGGTAAACCAAGATGTTTTAGAAATCTTTCAAAACATAATTTGATTTTCTGGTTAGGAATATAAAAACAAAAACAATTGATAAAACAAATATTATTTTATTGTTTCATGTTGAAAAGTATACTGTTTATGAGCTTACATCTATTAATATTTTATCAGTCTATTAATATTTTATCTGTATGTTTACTTTCTTCTCATAGTATTGCAAGCACCATTGGAATTATCCAGTATTGAGTTTGTATTCCAAGTCCCTTTACATGAACTAGATACTAAAAACAAGGTCACAAAAACTCAGGTATGTGATTATGTTTTTTGGTTTAAGATGATTATCTTGAAGCATGAGTGTTTTAAAGTATTCCTTATGATTATTTTCTAAGAGGTAATTTTTAAAGTATTCACATTTAGAGAAAGAGCTCTGAATTTTATAAATACATATATGTGCAGATATAAGTAAGAATATTCAGGGACAGTCCTGTGGCCTATTGTTTAAGGGAGCCAGATCTCATATGGCTGACTGAAGTCTGAATCCTATCCCCAGTGGCATGAAAAACATGCCAGGCATATGTGTATTTATGCCTAAGATATTATCCAGATGGGGAAATGGAGAAGAAGGGACCATGTCCCTTTGGGGGTGCTTTCTCCCTCTTCATATCTCTGTCTCTCTCTAGCAAGTACACTTACTCTCTGGAAATCAAAAAAGAAATAAATTTTTTAAAAACCAATAGGTTAAAAAAAGTATATTTAATATCTATCTACGTTTTGCATGAAGTAATACTTCACCTATTTATCGTTGAATTTTATTCTATTGTATGGTGCACCACAATTTATTAGTTGAAGGAAACAATTTTTTTTTCTTGCAGTGTTTGTGATTATGAATATATCCATTAATAAATATCCACATACAGGTTTAATACTTCACCTATTTATCGTTGAATTTTATTCTATTGTATGGTGCACCACAATTTATTAGTTGAAGGAAACAATTTTTTTTTCTTGCAGTGTTTGTGATTATGAATATATCCATTAATAAACATCCACATACAGGTTATTGTGTAAACATAAATGTTTCATTCACTTAAGTAAATACAAGTAAGATGTCTGAGTCATAAGGAAGGTGTTTGTTAACATTATAAGAAATTGACTAGCAGTCTTCTAAATTGGCAATGCTATTTTGCATTCTCACCACTAATGAATGATAATTCTTGTTACTCTGCATCGTTGTTACCTCTCATATCTGTATTTATATGTTTATTTTACCTCAATCTCTATTCTTTGTGCATTTTTCAGTTTTTAGATCTGTAATTTTTGCTTTCCAAAAAAGAAAAAAAGGAAAAAAAGAACGAAGCTTGAGTTTGCATCCTCCCCTCCCCACAAAACAGACTATGAACATATTTTCATAGCACTTTGTTTACCTATCATCTTTAAAGCATTTTATCTGTAATTAACATTTTTAGTCATTTGATTGTGTGTAGGCCTGCCAATTTGCTATGGTAATACAACTAAATTTTATACTGTCTATTATAATAAATTTTTTCTTTGTGTGTGTCTGAGCAGGATCTTGTCCTACGTAATATTTCCAAAAAAAATGTGCAATGGAATTTGGATCTTAGTAGTACCGGCAAACTTTTCAAAAAAGGCATATTCAAGTTTAGTGTACTTACTGGGAATCTGAAACCACATGAAAAGTGCAGCATTTCCATACATTTTTCTCCAAGTATGTACTTTTTTCCTATTTTCGTGGCTTTAATTTCTATGTATCATTCATATATAATTTTGTCATGTATACTAAAGTTTAAATGGTTTGTTATATTTTATTTCAACAATTTAAAATAGTGGAATTATATCAATCTCATTTTTATATTTTAAAATATGTAATTAACCAATAAGGATTGTATAATATATATTTAGTTTGTACAACAGCATGATTTGATATACATATTCATTGTGTAATGATTACCACAATATAATTAACTAACACATCCATCATGCTCATGCTATGCATTAGATTCCCAGAACTTGTTCATTTTAAAACTGAAATTTTGGGGAGCAGCAGTTAGCATAATGGCTATATCGCTGGACTCCCATGTAGTTGACTGCGGTTCAATTCCCAGACCTGGTGGCTTAAAACTCACACCGGGCACGTGTGCATGCGTGCCCAAGATCCCAAGAGGAGAATGGAAGAGAAGGGATTGCGGCGTGGCCATCCTCCCTGGGGGGGGTGATTTCTCGCCTTCTGTCTCTCTGTCTCTCTCTCTCTGTCTGGCGAGTGCATGCGCCCTAAGGCAAAAACCCCTCCAAAAAAATAACACTGAAATTTTGTATCTTTTGACCAACAACATCTCCCACTTTTCCCTGCTCCTCTAGTTCCTGGTCATCAGTGCCCTACACTGTGTTTCTATGGCTTTGTCACTTTTAGTTTCCATATCAGATCATGGAACTTTTGTCTTTCTAGGTCTGGCTTATTACACTTAGAGTAGTGGCCTCTAGGTTCAACAGTTTTGATGCAAATGGAAGGATTTTTTTCTTTTTTAAGACTAAATACTCTTCTATTGTATATACAGATGCCACAATTTCTTTATTCATTCATCCATCAATTAACACTTAACTTGTTTTCATAGTTTAGCTATTGTGAGTAATATTACAATGAATATGGCATTACAAGGATCTTCTCAACATACTGATTTCATTTTCTTAGAATATCTTCCTAGAAATGTACTATTGAGGGACCAGCAGTTGGCGTAATAGCTATGTTGCTGGACTTCCATGTAGTCGACCACGGTTTGAGTCCCAGACCCTGTGGCTTAAACACGCACCTAGTGTGTGTGTGCGTGCATGCCCAAGATCTCAAGAGGAGAATGGAGGAGAAGGGATTGCAGTGTGAGCATCCCCCCTGGGGGGGTGGTTTCTTGCTTTCTGTCTCTCTGTCTTGCTCTGTCTGTCTGGCGAGCACATGTGCACTATAGCAAAAAAAAACCCAAAAAACAAAAAGAAAGAAACAAACAAAAAATGTACTATTGTTGTGCTACTGCAGCAGAGCTTTCGTGTGTGTGCGTGTGTTTAATTTGCCAGAGAGTGCATGCAGCAATCTCTGGAGAGAGACACAGAAATCCCTTCTTCATTTCTCCCTCTTTTCAGGATTTTGGTCACACACACACACAGGTCCTGCATATTTTTTAAACTGCCAGATTGGAGACTTGAACCACACATTCAACATGCAAGATTCAGCCTCCTTAACCACCAGACCATGAGCTAGCCCCACTGTGGTTGCTTATCATTTATCTGATGATTAGAGATGTTAAGCATTTAATATATATATGCTGGATATTTGTATATCTTCTTTTTTTTCTTTTTTTGGAGAGGTTTTTGCTATAGGGCACGTGCACTCGCCAGACAGACAGAGAGAGACAGAGAGATAGAAAGCGAGAAATTACCCCCCAGGGGGGATGGCCACACCGCAATCCCTTCTCCTCCATTCTCCTCTCGGGATCTTGGGCACGCAGGCACACGCGCCTGGCGTGAGTTTTAAGCCACTGAGTCCAGGACGCGAACCGCGATCTACTATGTGATTGTCCAGCGACATAGCCATTACGCTAACTGCTGGTCCCTGTATATCTTCTTTTGATCCACATATATTCAAGTCATTTGCCCATTTTTAATAGGGTTGTTTTCATGTTATTGAATAGTTTTAATTTCTTGTATATTTTGGATATTAGTCTCCCCTTCTATATATGCATTACAAATATTTTCTTTCAATCTGTAGATTGACTCTTCACTGTATTTATTATTTCCTTTGTTGTACAGAGCTTTTTAGTTTGATGCCATCTTATTTCTCTGTTTGCTTTTGTTATCTGTGCTTTTGTGGTCAAGTTGGAGAAATGTTTGCAAAGATCAATGTCATGGAGCTTTTCCCCTATGCTTTGTTCTAGTAGTTTGATAGTTTCTAGTCTTTCTTTTAAGTCTTTAATTCATTTTGAGTAGATTCTTGTACAAAGGGTGAGATAAAGTCCATTGTATATACATCATTTAAAATAATGTAATGTGGCAATTCTGGAAAACAGAACCTTACCTCCAGTCAGTATTCGTTATTGACGTTTTTGGTTTATTGTTATTGTTGTTATTATTTGTTTGTTTAGTGGTATTCCTGGACTGATTCTGTAAAGTCTTTGTTCTTTTTCCTTTACAACCATTGAAGTCTTTTCATTTAGTGCTCATATAATGATCAAACATAGATTTCCAAGACTAGAAGACGCCATAATGTTTATGTCACTGGACTCCCACTTAGCTGACTGCAGTTCGAGTCCCAAACGCACTGGCTTCACTCTCATTGGGTGTGTGTGCATGCGTGCCCAAGATCCCAATAGGAGACTGGAGGAGAAGGGATTGTATTGTGGCCATCCTCCCGAGGGGTGATATCATGCTTTCTGTCTCTCTGTCTCTCTGGTGAGAACATGCGCCCTATTGCAAACATCTCTCTTAAAAACAAAACAAAACGTAGATTTCCTTAAATGCTTTAAACCAGGTATCAATATTTTGTTGAAGGATTCTTCACATGTCTTCGACATTCCAGTAGTTTATAACTCTGACTTGACTTTGTGTATATTTTTGTGCAATATGTGTAGGTCAACCCAAAGTGAGATATTAGGATTTTCTTAGTGTTTCCTGGTTGTGTGCACTGGAAATATATCAGAGCTTTTAAAAGTCCCTAATATCTAACACCTCAGTTTTTCCTTTTAGGTTTTTGCTTTGCCTCTCGTTTGCCATAAATGGTTTTACTACCTCCAGCAATTACAGTGTTAAATCATTTCTAATAATTGTTTATGACAAACCCAATGTAGTATTTATACTTAGTGAGTTCTGACTCAGATCAACTAAAGGAAACTGGAATAGGGCTTTTCGTGGAAGTTCCCAGACCAGTCAAATAGTGATAACTTTCTGGAGGTGGGATTATTTTAAAAATTCCTAACTACATTGAAGTTAAGGCTGCTAAATTTTTTATTTTTTAGAGTTTTTTTATTTGTTTGTTTTGCTGTTTGTTTTTGGTATAAGGCACATGCACTTGCTGGAGAGACAGAGAGACAGAAAGAGAGAAATCGCCCCCCAGGGGGGATGGCCATGCCACAATCCTCCTCCATTCTCTTCTCAGGACCTTGAGCATACATGGACATGCTTCTGTTGTGAGTTTCATGGCACCAGGTCCAGGACTCAAAACACGTGGACTGTGGGAGTCCAGCATTGTAACATTGTAACCATGTAAACATTAAGCCATCTGCTGGTCCCAAGGCTGCTAATTTTATTCTATTATTATTATTTCTTTTAATTCTTTTATTTATTTATTTATTTTTTTGGGGGGAGAGGTTTTTGCTATAGGGTGTGAGCACTCACCAGAAAGAGAGAGACAGAGAGACAGAAAGTAAGAAATCACCCCCCAGGGGGGATGGCCACGCCACAATCCCTTCTCCTCCATTCTCCTCTCGGGATCTTGGGCATGCATGCACACACACCTGGCATGAGTTTAAGCCACTGGATCCAGGACTTGCACCAGGGTTGGCTATGGAGGGGTCCAGTGACATAGCCATTACGCTAACTGCTGGTCCCAAGGCTGCTAATTTTAAAGATATCACTGAACTGGAGAGAACAAGATGAAAGTAGAAGTAAAAAGACCAAAAATCATATTGGTATTACAGAAGTTTAGTTTAGTAGTTTTCCTTAAGTAGATGTTTCTTGCATTGTTAGAAAGCTTTGATTAATTTCCAGAGTTCTGAAAGTGTTGATTTTGACAAGTTTTACCACTGTTGATTTTGACAAGTTTTATCAATGTTGTCATTGCTTTTATAGAGGAGTAGATATTTAGAGATCTTAACTCCACCATTCCCAATAATGTCACCTAGAAATTAATTAGATATTTACCTTATACTTTCTTTCCTTAAGTTTTTGAGCACTTAATCCTTAACTTCTATGTTAAAAATGGCAGTATTTACCTCTAATCTATTTCTTTTAAAGTATGGGAACAAGAGGTGTTTCTGTGCCTTTATAGACTTTAAGTTAATCAAAATTGTTCCAGTCACTTGTTTAGAAAAAGAACCAAAGCTGTTGAACCGAATTAGTTTCCTGTCATGAAAACTTGAACAGTACTATGTTGCTTTTTGGACTTCAAATTTATTTTTCTATTTTCCATTATAGTCTGAACTTATTTTGATTAAATCCAAACCATTGTTTAACCTCTTTACGTGGCATCCCACTTATGTATAAACAGCTATTCATTCCAGTAATGTTTTAAATGTAATTTCTGAACTCCATGTGGCAAGTTTTGGAGTGTCAGGGTCATAAGTGCAAAAACAGTAGCCTATTTAGTTTCTCCTATCCTTTTGAGGTATGGTGGTTTCTACCTCACTTAATATTTCTTCCTACTGGGCTCTTGGACTGTTCTTGCACTGTCCTATAAGATCTGGCATTATCTTCCAGCATGCATTGGCAAGTGATTACATGTCTGTTCTGCCATTTTGTCCTCCTGGAATATGACTACACTGTGAGCTTCTTTTCCCAAGCCATAATCAGGACCTTGATGTGTTCCTTTATTTTATTTGCCTTGTCGAGGTAACTCTTGCCAGAAATATAACTCTAACTGGGGACAGATTATACTTTCTCCCCATTTAGGCTAAACTGGTTGTACTGGCTACAGAGAAAGACTGCCTTATGTTCCCAGGGATTTCAAACACTTTAATAAGGAGCTTGCTTTAGTCTGAATATTTGTACCCCTGAGATTCATATATTGAAACCTAGTCCTTAATGTGATGGTATTGAGAAGTGGGAGCAGCATGTGCTATGGTGGTTAAAGCAGCTGGATCCCACATGGCTAACTATATAGTTTGAGTCCTAGATTTAGCAGCTTAAGAAACACTCTAGGCATGTGTGCGTGCATACTCAAAATCTCAAAAGGATGGTGAGGATGCTTTCTCTCTCTTTCTCTCATGAGAATATATGCCCTCTGGCCAAAAAAAAAAAAAGTCAGTCCTTTCGGAGTTAATTAAGTCACCACTCTCATGAATGGGATTAATGTCCTTATAAAAGAGGGCCTAGGGAATTTGTTTGCCCCTTTATACCGTGTGAAGACACAATGAGAATATACCATCTATGAACCAGAAAATAAGCCCCCACCAGACAGTGAATCTGTCAGAGATTTGATCTTGCACTTTCCAGCCTTTAGAACTGCGAGAAAGAATCTATTTATAAGCTACCCAGTTTATAATATTTTGTTATAGCAGCCCTAACAGACCAAGACAATAGTTTTTACTTTTAATTTTCCCTTTATTGTCCTTCCTTGAACTGCTACAAGGACCAGAAGATTTGGACTGGTATAATATTTGTTATCTACACTAACGTCTACATAAACCTAAAACCTTTTCTGAATCTGAGTTGTTTTTAAATCTAATTTCTGTTACTAGACTCTCACTTAGTTAAGTTTATCCTTAGATCTCATGTAAATGACTCCAATATTAGGCAAGCTTGATATCCAGAATACACATAGCTTGGACGACCCCTGCTGCACGAAAATATGTAATTTTTCTAGTAACAATGAGTTTCAGAAAACGAAAGTATTGGCATCTAGCTTCTTCAAGCATATGGAGCAAAGAAGTATTTGAAAAACATGTAGGAAAAATTTTTTCATTGTTGTCTCTTTTTGAGAAAGTCTGTACTGATATGTGCTTTTAATTGAAAGCATGCACTTTAGTACTTTGATAGTTCATATACCATAACTAAGAATACCATATTCTGTTGGACCATATTAGGTTCTCATGACTTTCCTGAGGATCTAATATTTCCAGACTATTTTTCTCGTTAAATGTTGTAGTAACTTACCTGTCATTCTTCCTAGTTAAGTTTACTTATGAAACATTGGGATTGCAATCGCTTGAGTATGCTGGTTAGGCCTGTCCAGAGCCTCATTACTGGTCTTTTCCATCCATCGTCCAGTTGTGGGTGTTGGCTCCTGACAGGTTATGCTTGCCCCCTTCTGTAGAGGATTGCCCTTGACTAAAGGAAGATGCCTCATTAAGAGATACCTGGGAGGTTAAGCACCATCACCACCATTACCTCAGGTAGCTCAGCCACTCACAATCTCTCTGATGAGTTCACATCCCACAGCCCCCTGTGGAATTAGATCAAAACTAAACCTCTAGAATCACAACTTATCATAGGTGTTTGCCCTGCCCTATACTGTTTCTCTTCTTTACCTACAGATTTCTTGTGAGAATAATCTACCATAAAAATCACTTGCACCAGAATCCCAAATTCCTTTTATCTTAGTATATCCCTTTCTTAGGAGTTCCTTGGGATACTAATGGCAATTGTCTTAATTCATCTTCACATTGCGCATACTAAAGGGATAAGTAGCTTCTAATACTACACAGAAAGCAAGACCAAAGAATGTCTTGTTTCACTATTTCTCCAAGGTATACTTATTTTCTTAAAGTAATGACAATCTAATTAAGATTTGCTCCACTTCTAGACAAGGTACATTTAAAAAAAATTTTTTTTTTCCTTCAGCAACACCTCATTGCATGTCTTAAATTATTCTGGGCAGTCCATTCTAACTCATTAAGATATAATATCATAGTACATTATTTTTAAAAGAAAGTTTTGTAATGGAGAGTGTATGCTGGCCAAAGAGATAACGAGAGACAGAAAGCAAGAAATTACCCCCTCCAGGGGGGATGGTCATGCCACTATCCCTTCTCCTCTTGGGATTTTGGGCATGTACACACATGCGCCCAGTGTGAGTGAAGCCGCCAGGTCTGAGAGTTGAACTGCTGTTGACAACATGGGAGTCCAGCGATGTAACCATTATGGCATCAGCTGGTCCCAACATTATAGTACATTTTAATATTTAGTAAGGTTTAAATTGTGTAAATATCTTTGCATATGAACTAATATAAATACTTTTAAATTTTTTCATTAGATAAACCTAGAAAATACAAGGTTGATATCCCTATACGTTTAAATGAAAATCCAACATGCTATAGAATATTATGTCTGATTGGAGAGGTAAAATCACCCAAGTTATTGTTTCACCCTGCATTTGTGTGTTTCACTCCTGTTCCTTTGGATGTGACAACTACAATGAATATCAGTATTTTGCCTCAAAATTATTTCAGGTAAATGCTTAATATGAATTCACCGCTTCCTTATTATATGTTTTTTTGTTTGTGCTTGTGTCATATTAAAGTTATGAGTAATGTTTGACTTGTTTCTATAGTTGGGAAGAACTATTGCAATATTTCACTATATGGACTAGCTAGGTAGCACATGGTGATTAAGGTGGCTGGATCCCACATACCCAACTGTGAGGTTTGAGTCCCAGACCCAATGGCTTGAAAACAAGCTAGGTGCATGTGTGTACCTGCCCAAAAACCCAAGAGGAGAATGCAGAAGGGATTGTGGTGCGGTCATCATACCCTGGGGAGTGCTTTCTCACTTTCTCTTTGTCTCTCTCTAGCGAGTTCACATGCCTCTATCACAAATTTTAAAAAATAAAAATATATATTTCACTATACATTGAAATTGAAAAAAAAAAACTCTTATCTCACAGTCATTGAATTTTCTTATAAATTTTTTGAGTATGTCTCTACTTATGGTATAAAAAGCAACTTTTTATTATATATTTTATATATTATAGATGTATAATTAAGTATATAAACATTAAGTGACATCTTTGAATAGTAGTGTTTTAAAATATATTCATGATATTTTATATGTATATAAGTGCTTAAGAACAGCCAAAATTTGAAATAATATCCACATGTATATGCATCTATTAATACTATTTAGTCTAAATGCATTAAAGCAGTAACTATTAAAGTGATACTTTTGGGTATATTATTATCAGAATATATTTAAGAACAACAATATTTATATTATAGTTGTGATAAAAATATATTGTATTTAATCAGGTGTTTTATTGCTTTTTTAATATCTATAGAACAAAAGAACCATTTGATCCTCTCACATGATTCTCTATTAAATTAATACATTATCGATCTTACTTATACTGTAACTAGAAAAGAAAAGGATGATTCAAAGATATCTTTAATAATTGAGAATATTACAGTAAATATATATTGTTTTCATTTTTCTGATGATTCAAGAAACAGATAAACATTCATTTAAACCCAATTACTTACAAGTATTTTGAGCTTTCTTTCCTTTTAATTTTAAACAGAAATTCAACTCTAAGTGTCCAGATTCCCACAGCAGGGCTTCCTGACAGTGATGAGATCCCCCCTCTTTCTGTGAAGTTTACAAAAGGCAGAGTCATCACAGGCTCTCACAGTGGAATTAACAATGAGCCCCCCTGCCACATCAGTTTCACATCATCTAAACCTGTGACATTTCTCACCGAACTACTTTTCCATGATGACAAAGATAACTGGTAAGAGATCTAAATGTAGATTCTTTTGTATCTGAGTGAAGAATAATAGGCGTACATTCTACACCATTGTATAATGTTGAAAAGTGAGACAACTATTGATAATATAATGACTTTGGACATAGTTTTTCAAAATTCCAAAACTAAGCTTGTTCTCACAAGAAACAGTATAAGCGTGGTTACCAACATGCCTAGCTAGGCTCTGAAGCTAGGCTGCTGGGATTAAATCCTAGCTTTACTCATTATTTTTTTTTTCACATTTTAAAAATTTACATTTAATTTAGAACATCTGTATAGAACATCTATACCGAGTACAAAATGTTTTTTCCCATTATGAATACAGTACTTATCAGTGAAGTCATAGATATTACTGTATACATCATCATCAACAGATAAATTTTCATTTTGGTTTCTGTTAAATGTTTTTTCACTGATCCCCTCCCTTTCACCCCTATTACCCGCTCCTTCCATACTGTCTACAGTATTCTCAATTGCCCTCCCTGGTATTCATGCTCAATCTCTCTTTTTTTCCACTTTTTTTTTCTGTTGTTGTTGTTGTAGGGCGTGTGCACTCACAGAAAGACAGAGAGACAGAGAGACAGAAAGTGAGAAATCACCCCCCGGGGGGGTGGCCACGCCACAATCCCTTCCCCTCCATTCTCCTCTCGGGATCTTGGGCATGCACGCACACGTGCCCGGTATGAGTTTAAGCCACCAGGTCCACGGTTGACTACATGGGAGTCCAGCGACATAGTCATTATGCCAACTGCTGGTTCCTCAGTGCTCAATATCTCTTATCATAAAGAAAATGCAAATCAAAACCCCAATGAGATACCACTTAACCTTGGTCTGAATGGCTAAGATTAAAAAAGTAAAGAATAAGTACTGATGTGGCTGTGGTGGAAAGGAACTCTCCTACACTATTGGTGGGAATGTAAATTGGTACAGCCACTGTGCAGAATAATATGGAGGTTCCTCAAAGACCTACAAACAGAACTGCCATATGACCCAGTAATTCAACTCTTAGGTATCAACCCAAAGGACAGGAAAACCCTCAACTGGATAAACACTGCCTTCGTTAACCTTCCTATTGGGCCTCTCAGTTTTCTCCTCTGTCAAATGAGATGGTAGCAGAACTGGTCTCATTTGTTATGACAAATTGAGTTAGTAAGTATTGATTAACTGGACAGGAACTGATACAAAGGAAATGCCAAATAAGCATTAACTAAAGGTAAGAAACATCAGCATATCGGTTTTTCAATATTGTGGCTTTGTTACATGTTGCTTAACAAGCTCAGGGAAACTCAGATATACCACAGTGAAACCAAAAGCCAGATAAACCTTGTTGAAACCATATATATATATATATATATATATCTTTTGGAGAGGTTTCCCTTCTCCTCCATTCTCCTCTTGGGATCTTGGGCATGCACGCATACGCGCCCAGTGTGAGTTTTAAGCCACCGGGTCCGGGACGCGAACCATGGTCGACTACATGGGAGTCCAGCGACATAGCCATTATGCTAACTTCTGGTTCCCTTGAAGCCATATTTTTGAATGGCTTATCTTATAGGACCAGAAGTACCACTTTTGCATTCTATCCTGAAATGATTTGACTAACCAGATGCCAAGAGGTTGAAGTGTAGAGCAGTAAAGCTTGTTAAAAATGTTTACAATGAGAAGTAGCATCAGGGTAAATTGTATAGTATAAATTGTTAGTGTATGTACTCTATGCTCATTTATTAACTGTCAGTGGAGTCATTATTATTTCGTGTGTTTGCAGTCAAATAATTGATTATGGGACCAGCAGTTAGCATAATGGGTATGTGTGTGTGTGTGTGTGTGTTTGTGAGAGAGAGAGAGAAAGAGAGAGAGAGAGAGAGAGAGAGAGAGACTTTTGCTATAAAGTGTGTGTGCTTACCAGAGAGACAAAGAGAGGGACAGAGGGACAGAAAGTGAGAAATCAGCTCCGAGGGGTGGCCACAAAGCAATCCCTTCTCTGTTATCCTCATGGGGTTTTGGGCATGCACACACATGCACCTGGCATGAGTTTTAAACTGAGCCTGGGATTCACACTGCAGTCGACTATGTGGGAGTTCAGCGACGTAAACTGTATGCCATCTGCTTGTCCAATAAATGCTTTTCATATACTTCGCTTGGTGCCAATAGAGGTATAAAGAAAAACACAACACAAAAGGAACAACTAATAATGCCCTGGGTTTGAGAGAGGGGCTGGATTAGGGATGGGTGCCCAGGTTTCTGAATAAGATCTCTTAAAGGATAAATTATACTTGTCCATGTTTGCTCCAGGTTGAAGGCTTTATTTGCATCTAGTTTGTCCATATTGAAGGCCATGGGACCAATCAAAAACAAAACACTTATTTCTTAATTTTTCATTATTATTATTATTTACTTACATAAGACCATTTTCTACTGTGACTTCTCTTAGGGGCTAACATGCTAGGGTTTTTATTTTTTTTCCCTCTTTATATTTTGTCATAAT